AGTGGAAGATGGCTCAAGTCCTTGGGCCCATCTACCCATGTAGGAGACCTAGATGAAACTCTTGGCTCCTGGCTTCGGCCTGGACCAGGCCTGTCCATTGTGCCATTGCGGTCATTTGGGGGAGTGAACCAAAGGATGGAAGAACTCTTATTTCTCTCTTTTCTTCTCTGTAACTCTGTCTTTCAAATAAATAAGTAAATGAATAAATAATATTTTTAAAAACTAAAAGAAAGGCCAACGCCATGGCTCACTTGGCTAATCCTCCAGCTAATCCTCTGCCTGCAGTGCTGGCACCCCGGGTTCTAGTCCCGGTTGGGGCACCGGATTCTGTCCAGGCTGCTCCTCTTCCAGTCTAGCTCTCTGCTGTGGCCCGGGAAGGAAGTGGAGGATATCCCAAGTGCTTGGGCCCTGCACCCGCATGGGAGACCAGGAGGAAGTCCCTGGCTCCTGGCTTCGGATTGGCACAGCACACCAGCCATAGCAGCCATTTGGGGGGTGAACCAACGGAAGGAAGACCTTTCTCTCTCTCTCTCACTGTCTAACTCTGTCAAAAAAAAAAAAAAAAAAAAAAAAAAAAAAAAAAAAAAAGACAAAAACAACAAATTCCCAATGTTCAATTCACAAATATTTACTGAGCTCTTGCTGTGGGCCAGGAACTCTGCCAGGCACTGTAACAGACAAAATGAAGGCAGCCGGGGCCAACGCTGTAGTGCAGCAGGTTAAAGCCCCAGCCTGCAGTGCCAGCATCCCATATGGATGCTAGTTCTAGTCCTGGCTGCTCCTCTTCCGATCCACCTTTCTGCTATGGCCTGGGAAAGCAGCAGAAGATGGCCCAAGTCCTTGGGCCCCTGCACCCATATGGAAGACCTGGAAGAAGCTCCTGGATCCTGCATCAGCTCAGCTCTGGCCACTGAGGCCAACTGGGGAATGAACCAGCGGATGGAACTCATGGAACTCTCTCTCTTTCTCCACCCCCCTCCTCTTTCTCTGTAACTCTTTGAAATAAATAAATAAATAAATAAGTCTTAAAAAAAAAAAATGAAGGCAGCCATAGTCTCTGTTCCCAAGGAAATTATGGCCCAGATAGTTACATAGCAAGAGTCCTTTGATCCATTATTCCTTTTTAAAAAAGATTGATTGATTGATTGATTTTAAAGGCAGAGTAACAGAAAAAGAGAAGTTCCATCCACTGGTTCACTCCTCAAATGCCTGCATTTGGCCAGGCCAAAGCCAGGAGCCAAGAACTCCATCCAGGTCTCCCATATGAGTGGCAGGAACTCAAATACTTGCGCCATCCTTCTCTGCTTCCCTGGCACATTAACAGGAAACCAGATCTGAAGCAAAGTTGTACCGGTGCTCCCATATGGGATGTGGGTGGGACATCCTGAGTGGTGGCTTAACCTGCTCCCCCACCCCAATCCAGTATTCTTAAAATACCCTGAGAGGTCACTCCAATGCTAATAGTCTGGAAGGCATTCCTTTGAGGAAATTTTTGCCCAGCAAATGGAAACATCACATTTTTCTACCTTAGTATCATTTCAGACACTATGGTAACAAACAACTGTACCAAAAATTAGCTCAGTAATGACTTAGCCAACACAAACCAGTTTAATGCTCATTGAGTAATATTTCTGGGAGGAAAGGGAGTTCAAATAAATAAGACTTCCCCTACTCTCAACAAGAATTAATTACCTTTTGCCAGGGCTGTACTTCTCAAATTTTTCTCTATGTACCAAGATAAACAGAGAATGATATCATTGTATAACACTCTGGGGTCAATGGAGATAGCTGTTCTCAGCTATCCCGATACTCTGTTTCCATCACACAGCTGGGAAGCTCTGGAGAGCATCAACATGCTATATAACATGCTCACACTTAGAGAGTAAAACTGAAGGGCAAAGTCCCACTCATTTAACTATAAACCTGAGACTGACAGAAAACCACAGCATCCATCTGAGAGTCCACAAGCACTAGCATCTGCAGGGGCATTCCGTTCCAGGTGCCAAGCTAACATGAAGGAAGCAGCAACCGTACCTTGGAGTCAGAGGCAAACTGGTTTCCTCAAGGCTGCACTTTCTCTAGCTCATTTATACAACTTAACAGGCAGACAACTGCAATTAGACCTAGACAATGTGTTTATTCAGCAAACCCACCCTGTAGTGAGTCAGCATTCCAGGGGAATGGCCAATTGCATCTACCCTGATGAGAAGCAGTGTTGCCAGAGTTTTCTCTGATGACCAGAAATGACCTCAAGGAAATCACATAACACGAGGTGGCTTCCTATACACAGCACAGTCTGAAGGGCAAACAAGCTTATTGAGATCTTATGACAAGAGACCAGCCATTAGTTCCTACCAATTCCTACCACAAGTACCTGACCAACCACCTTCTGCCTCCCAAGGTGCACATTAGCAGGAAGCCAGATCAGAAACCGAATACTCTGGACTGGAACTAGGCACCTGGACATGGGATGTAGGATCCCAAGCAGTGACTTAACAGCTGTGTCAAACTCCCACTCCTTTGCTAAGAATCTTATTTAGGCAATCATGTAAAATGGGTATAACAGTTTCTACTTTGGAATTAGAAAACTAGGAATCAAAAAGATTTTTTTAGGTATTTATTTATTTAAAAGACAAAGTTACAGAGAGAGACAGACAGATCTTCCAGCTGCTGGCCCACTCTCTCTCTTTTATTTTAAGATTTTATTTATTTACTTGAGAGGCAGAGTTAAAGATAGTGAGAGGGAGACAGAGAGAAAGGTTTTCCTTTTGAAAGGCAGAGTTACAGAGAGAGGTAAGGCCAGAGAGAGGTTCACTCTGGTTCACTCCCCAACTGGCCGCAATGGCCATAGCTGCACCAATCTGAAGCCAGGAGCCAGGTGCTTCCTCCCAGTCTCCCACGCGGGTCCAGGGGCCCAAGGACTTGGGCCATCTTTCACTGCTTTCCCTGGCCACAGCAGAGAGTTGGATGGGAAGAAGAGCAGCCGGGACTAGAACCAGTGCCCATATGGGATGCCAGCGCCACAGGCAGAGTAACCTACTGCACCATGGCGCCGGCTCCAGGTCCACTCTCAAAATAGCCACAAAGGCAAGGGCTAGGCAAAGCCAAAGTCAGGAGCCTGGAATTCCATCCGGGTCTACCACATGGGTGGCAGAGGCCCAAGTACTTGGGCCATCTTCTGCTGCTTTCCAAGGTACAATAACAGGGAGCTGGATTGGAAGTGGAGCAGCAGGGCAGCAGCCTAAGCCACTATGCCACAAACAAGCCCCCAAAACCCATGTTTCTAGTCACCAAACTTGACTGCCTCTGCTAAGTAAGGACAAAGAAACTGCAACAGGAGTCCACCTGGCACAGTTAGTCCTTCCCATTGGGCAAAGGGGACAACAGTTTCCTGAGGCAATGACAAAGATCTTCAACCAGGAAGCACACAGTGAAGTCATTTGGGGTTTTTTTCCAAAATACAGATACCTACCAGGGATCGTTGGAGTAAGAATCTCATAGAGTGAGGCTTCTGAATGTGTATGTGGAACAAACTATTCCAGGAGACTTTATACTCTCAAGGTTGAGGAGGGCTTCCACACAGGTAGACGTTTGTTGTGCTCATCTCAGACCCTGGACCTCCTAGGCTCAACAACACAGCTGGATCTGTATGCATTCATAAATCTACTCAGCAAACATCACTGAAACCCAAACTTTACACCAGGCACAGAGCCAGACAGAAGCAGAAGGAAGTTAAGGCTAACACAGAACACATGATGTACTAAAAGGTAGCAGCATGGACAAAGAGGAGTCAAGGGTTACACATGAGGCAAGTAGTTTTTCCAAGGAATGACACCACAGGTAGAATTTAATGGACAGATGCAACTTTTCCATAATGGCGGGTGGATGAAAAGGGGTGGAGAGTCTACAAACTAAGCAAATTGCATATCTATATCTAAAGGGAGGGGGGGTGCTGTGGCACAGTGGGTTAAAAGCCCTGGCCTGCAGTGCCAGCATCCCATATGAGCGCCGGTTTGAGTCCCAGCTGCTCCTCTTCTGATCCAGCTCTCTGCTATGGCCTGGGAAAGCCCTCTCCCTAAGAGCAGAAGACCTTGGGCCCCTGCACCCATGTGGGAGACCAGCAAGAAGCTCCTGGCTCCTGGCTTCGGATCAGCTCAGCTCTGGCCCTTGCAGTCATTTTGGGAGTGAACCAGCAGAACAGAAGACCTCTCCCTCTCTCCCTCTCTCTCTCTGTAACTATCTTTCAAATAAATAAAATAAATCTTAAAAAAAAAAAAAAAAAGCAAAGCACAGGGGTCTGAAAGACAGGCCCAACAATAAACTACTACGTAAACTGAGCACAGTGTTAAGTCTTCTGTCAAATTATGAAGAGTCCTGAATGCTTTGTTAAGGAGCTTGGCCTTTATCCTAAACGGGCACTTTAACCTAAAGGCACCAAGGAGCCAGTTTTAGGCTGGAAAGGGCTTATTCAGATTTTTCACTTCAGCAATTTCACCGAGGGGGACTGGACACGGGGGCTAGGCTTGCCCTTGCAGGCTGAGGGATGACAGGTTTGCAGAGAAAGCGACCCGTCTGGCCTCAGGCCTGCCTTTTTAAAGAAAGTAATTAGTGCCCTGCCGGCCCCGGCGCTGTCACAAAGGTAGAGAGTGAAACGGCGGTCAGACGCGAGGAAGCAGTGAGGACAACGGGATTAGGTCAACCCGACCCGTGCTGGACGCGGGCCGGCTGAACAGCAGGGAGTGTTGATGACCACGTCCACCAGCCCGACGCGGCACCCAGGACTGCAGGACGATTCGCGGCCAGTCCAGTCTCGGACAACAGAGACTCCAAGAGACATCGCCTGGCCCTGCTCCCTGCCTGGCCCGGTAGGCCCCGACGCAAGGGGCACCGGACGAGCGCTCCGGACAGGGCAGGGGCAGGCCCCGCTGCGCCAGGAAGCGGCTGCAGCTCGTCAGCCCCTCCCGCCCGTCGGGCTGTCGCCCTGGGCCGAGCCGCCTCACCTCGCACAGGCGGCGGGCTCTTCGGCGTCTCGGCGGCTCTGCTGACCGTCCCTGGGCTGCGGCCACGGCCGCCGCCGTTGCCGCCATCCTCGGGCGTCAGCGTCGTGGCGTCATCACAACGCGCGCCTAATGCCAAAACAAACCCCGGCCTCCTGCTGGGCGGGAAGGGGGCGGGCTCTGCGGAGGCTAAGCTTCGTGGTTGGTGGCCCTCTTGAGCGCGCCTGCCAATCAATGCCTAGGGGGCGGGAACGAGCTTTCTACTACCTGGGGAGGGTCTGTTTGTCGCTCAAAGTACAGCGAATGGAGGCTGAGGGAGGGGCTTTGCAAGAAAAAGCAGAGACTGGGGGAAGAAGGAAGACTTTTTAGCAGAAAGAGGACTCTAGTGAGAAGCAGGGGTTTCTGGAAGTGCCTCTGGAACTCCACAAAGGATTGACCGAAGTTTAACAAATCTATTGTTTACAACTGTAATTCACAATGTCAGCCCTCGGATGTGTTAAATTTGGCCTCCATGACAGCAGAGTTGTAAATGGTTTAACTTGTGAATTGGTGAAGTCAGTCGTGGGACTACTGACAGAAAAAAAATATTTTGTTGTTGTCTTTGTCCCCCCCCCCCAGAAACCTTTTATTTAAGGTATACAGACTTCATGCATTTCATAATTTTTTTTAAGAAATTTATTAATTGAAAGGCAACAACAGGGGAAAGGAGAGGGAGAGAAGAGTGAGAGAGATCTTCCATCCTCTGATTCACTCTCCAAAGGGCTGCCACAGCCGGCCAGGAACTCTTCTGATCTCCCACGGAGGGGGATGGGGTCCAAGGACTTGGGCTATCTGTGGCCTTCCCAGGCCATTAGCAGGGAACTGGGTCAGAAGCAGAGCAGTGGGGACCCACATCAGCACTCTGATATGGGATACCAGGATTGCAACAGTCAGCTTAACCTGCTGCACCACAACCCTGGCCCTTTGTATTAACTTTGCTGTTTTTTAATTTAAATGTATCCTGAGGGTGCAGACAGATTCTTAAATTGCTACCATTCACAATGACATCTCTATAGAAGTCAGATTGCAAAGGGGTAAAAAAAATAGATGTTGAAGTGATATGGGCATTGTCACCTCCATACAGCTTCTCTATCTCATTCACTCATCCAACAGATCTTTATTGAGTATGCACTTCACACATGGAACTATATTTTGCTCACATAGGCCAATGTTACACTATAACCTAAAAATAATACCAGTAAAACATTTTTCTTATATAGTATGACCTCACAGAAGATTCCATTTTAAAAAGTACTTTAAAAATTGTTTTCAGATGGGCCGGTGCTGTGGCACAGTATGTTGAACAGCCACCTATAGCCCCGGCATCCCATATGGGCACTGGTTGAGTCCCAGCTGCTCCACTGCTGATCCAGCTCGCTGCTGATGTCCTGGGAAAGCAGCAGAGGACGGCCCAAGTACTTGGGCCCCTGCACCCACATGGGAGACCTGGATGAAGCTCCTGGCTCCTGACATAGGCCTGGCCCAGCCCTGGCTGTTGTGGCCATTTGGAGAATAAACCAGCAGGTGGAAGATCTCTGTATCTTGCTCTAACTCTGCCTTTCAAATAAATAATCTTAAAAACAATTGTTTCCAGAGACAGGTATTTGACCTCCATGGTTAAGACTGGCTGGGATGGAGCTGGCGCTGTGGCTCACTTGGTTAATCCTCCGCCTGCAGCACCGGCATCCCATATGGGTGCCGGGTTCTAGTCCTGGTTGCTCCTCTTCCAGTCCAGCTCTCTGCTGTGGCCTGGGAGGGCAGTGGAGGATGGTCCAAGTGCTTGGGCCCCTGCATTCACATGGGCGACCAAGAGGAAGCACCTGGCTCCTGGCTTTGGATCAGCATAGTTCCAGCCGTAGCGGCCATTTGGAACGTGAACCAACAGAAGGAAGGCCTTTCTGTCTCTCTCTCACTGTCTAACTCTGTCAAGTAAGTAAAAAATAAATAAATAAATAAATAAAAAGAGAGAGAGAGAGACTGGCTGGGATGTCTGCATCTTGTTTCAGAGTGCCTGAGTTTGAGTCTTGGTGCATTCAAGTCTTGCTCTGCTCCCAATTCCAGCTTCTTGCTAACACCCACCTTGGGAGGCAGCAGGTAATGTGTCAAGTGGCTGGGCCCCTGACACCAACAAGAAAGATCCAGATGGGATTTGAGAGAGAGAAAAACCATCCACTAGTTTACTTTCCAAATGGTCCCAATGGCCTATGCTGGGCCAGGCTGAAGCCAGAAACTCCATCAGGGTCTCTGACGGTGGGTGGCAGGGGCCCAAGTACTTGGGCCATCTGATGCTGCTTTTCCAGGCACATTAGCAGAGTTAGATTGAAAATGGAACAGTCAGGACTTGAAACAGTGGTTTAACCTGTTGTGGCACAACGCTGGCCTCAGACTCATATTTTTTAAAGATTTATTTATTGGGTCTGGCACTGTGGCATAGAGGTTAAAGCTGCTACCTGCAGTGTCTTCCAAATTAGTAATAAATAAATCTTTAAAAAAAAACTAGTAAGAATGAAACAAACTTTTTTAAAAAATTATTTATTTGAAAGGCAGAGTTAGAGAGAGTCAGAGGCAAAGAGAGAAAGTCTTCCATCCATTGATTCACTTCCGAAATGGTCACAACGGTTGGAGCTGGGCTGATCCGAAGCCAGGAGCCTGAAGCACCTTCTGGGTCTCCCTTTCGTGTGCAGGGGCCCAAGGATTTGAATCATCTTCTGCTTTCCCAGGCCATAGCAGAGAGCTGGATTGGAAGCGGAGCATCCGGGACTTGAACTAGCACCCATATGGGATGCCAGCACTGCAGGTGGCAGCTTTACCCGCTACACCACAGCACTGGCCCCAAACTTAATAAAAAGATTTACTTGAAAGGCAGAGCTTCCATCTGCTAGTTCATGCCCCAAATGGCTGCAATGGCCACAGCTGGGTTGGGGTGAAGCCAAGGGCCAGGAACTTCTTCCAGGTCTCCCACGTGGGTGCAGGGGCCCAAGACTTGAGCCATCTTCTACTGCTTTCCCAGGTGCATTAACAAGGAGCTGGATCAGAAGTGGAGCAACTGGAACTAAAAACTGGTGCCCATATGGGATGCCAGTGCTGCAGGCAGTTTTTATTTGTTTTTAATACATATTTATTTTAAATGCACAGTTATGGCGTGGGGCAGAGGGAGAGAGAGCAAGAGCAATCCTCCATTTACTGTTTCATCCCGCAAATGGTTGCAACGGCCATGGCTGGGCCAGTCGAAAGCCAGAAGCAGGAACTTCTTCCAGGTCTCCCACATGGTTGAAGGAGCCCAAGCACTCAGGCCATCTTCCTCTGCTTTCCCAGGCACATTAGCAGGGAGCTGGATCAGAAGTGGAACAGCCAGGATTCGAACCAGCACCCATATGGGAAGTCAGCATGGCAGTCAGCAGCATTACTCGGTGTGCCACAACATCAGCCCCAGGCAGCAGTTTTAACACACTGCACCAAAGCAACGGCCCCAGCCTCATCCTTCTTATTGGAAATGATAATCCTGACCTCACCGATTTCTTGGAAAATATGAAATTGCTCCAAAATCTACACATATCCCATTTTACAGGTAATTCAGCAAATGAACTAAACTATTCATTGAGCCTAGTCTGGACTATGGGGAAGAGCGTGGGGCCCTTTGGTGAAGATTAAGGGCATGGGACACTGGGCCCAGGATATCCTGCCCCCAGGCTCTCCCCTGAACAGGCTACTCCTTTTCCACAGAGACGCAAGTGTGAGAAACACTATCATCATGATGCTGTGGCCTCGGCAGCTGTGTCCAGGGCCCTGTCAGCTTGGCTATCCACCCGCCCCTCTCCTCCAGCTCTAGGATAAAACACACAAAGCCCTTAAGCCCCTGGCCAGAGAGCAGATTCTTTCCCCCCTCCCTAACCTCCCTGCTCCCTCACTCCACAGAAGAGTAGGGACTTAGGGAGCAAAAATCAGGGGGGGAAAGTAGGTCACAGCAGGAGAATGGTAATCCCCCTGATGGCTGCCGAGAGCAGCCAGGCTCCTGCTCCTGGAAGCAGTCTGTTCTTGTCCACCGACCAGAACTGGCTCTTGAAGACTTCTGGGGTCTGGAACACCAGCACCATCCACCTCAGCAATATGACCAGGCTGAATAACAGCCCCAAGAGGACAAATTCTCCACATTGGGGTCATTCGCAGCCCAGCTCTTGCTTCTCATGCTGCGCTAAGATTCCTTCATTTTGCACACTCCCACAGTACACTCTCTCTCCAGCCCTAGGTTGGGTGCTAGAAACACAAAGATGTCCTGCCTTTGGGGAGGCCATAGTGGGACACTGTGACCTGGACACAGACAGTAATAAGCCAGTACCATCAGTACTGAGATAGGAGCTGTGTAGACCTAGATATGGCTTCTAATTCAGCTTGCAGTCAGGGTTAGTAAGCAAGAAATAGGAATTTACCAGAAGGTAAGGGGGAAAGGTATTCTGAACAATGAGAAGTACAAAGACCTAAACAAATGAAGTCTAGGGTTTCCTCTAGAAAATTCTGGTGGCCTAAGGAGGAGAGATCTGGGAAGGGCTTTTTCCTGAACTTTCTCCTTCAGGTGGTACGAAAAGATGGGTACTGATTAGTTGACAAGAAGTGGGGATAGGCCGGCGCTGCGGCTCAATAGGCTAATCCTCCACCTAGTGGCGCTGGCACACCGGGTTCTAGTCCCGGTCGGGGCGCCGGATTCTGTCCCGGTTGCCCCTCTTCCAGGCCAGCTCTCTGCTGTGGCCCAGGAGTGCAGTGGAGGATGGCCCAAGTGCTTGGGCCCTGCACCCCATGGGAGACCAGGAGAAGCACCTGGCTCCTGCCATCGGATCAGCGCGGTGCACCGGCCGCAGCGCGCCACCCATGGCGGCCATTGGAGGGTGAGCCAACAGCAAAAAGGAAGACCTTTCCCTCTGTCTCTCTCTCTATCCACTCTGCCTGTCCAAAAAAAAAAAAAAAAAAAAAGAAGTGGGGATAAAAGTCCAGGTGAATGAAGCACAAGGCAAAGGTGGAGTTGGGGTAGAGAGAGGGAGTTACTGGAAGCATCTGAGCTGCCAGAATGGAAGGGTGTTTAGGAAGTAAGGAAGTTCCTGCACACCTGGGTGGTGGACTCTGGGGAAACCATCACCCTAGAGCCTAAGGCCAGGGTCTCAGTGGGCTTACTCTGGCCTGAAGTGACAGCTGCCCAGGATAGGCTTCAGCTGAGTAAACCTGGCTTCCAAACTCTGGGCTCCCATCGCTCCTTTCTTCCCAGCTGACTGCTTTGGGGCCCTCCTGTAAACTCTTTCCAACTTAGCTCCATCTCTCCTCTACCACTTGTAAAGCTCATGTTCTTGTATCATTCCCCAGCTGAGTGCTGCTTGTCTGAAGCCTCCCCAAACCCTATGGATATCTACCTCAGTAGGTAGCCAGCTCCTCCGTGCTTGCTAGAGGGGAGCTGCAGATGTGGACAGAGCTGGCTTATGTATGGCTTTGTAGACAAGAATAGGAGCTTAACATAGGCATCAGTTTTTCAGTCTACAAAGGACAAACTGAAGGAAGTGATAACAGAAGTTAGCAAAGAGGCCATGGCAGTGCCCACCCAAGTCCTGGAGCAGTGGCTTGGAATAGGGTCCTGATGCTAGTAGACTGCTCAAAAGCAGCATCTCCCTCTACCCCCTCTCTGATGTCTCCTGCCTCAAGTTCTGCCCATGTGGATTCTTGGCCTTTGTTTATGTGCAGATGAACAACAGCCCCTCACACACCATACCTCACTCCACTGCTCCCGGGGTACACCATACGCCATACACATTTTCTCAAAGAACAAGCTTGTGGACACACAGCAGAGGATCTCTCATTGGGACTCCAGGATCTGCAGCATTATCTCATGGCAGAAGCTTTCAAGTGGATTCCAGAAGGGGCTCTCCACCCACTGAAAGAGCCCCCCTTCAGATGGACCATGACCCCAGAGGAGGGGGTCGATGCACATAATCTGGGCTCAGCAGAGGATAGAGGCAGTGAGATGGTCAGGACCCTGCAAACTGGAAGAAGCCAGGACAGCAGGGTGGAACAGCAGGGGCAACCAAAGATCAAGGGCACTCAGCCACCTCACCTGGCCACCTGGAAGGAGTAGGCAGAGCTAGGAGTGAGGCTGAGAACTCCCGCCTCTGGACCCTGCCGGATTATCTGCCATAGCCAGTCTGAGAAGGCACAGACTGCATTCCGGCAGATCTTGGGTCTCCACCAGAGCTCATGGGATTTGCATGCAATGGAAAGCTCTGCTCTGCAGCCAGGAAATAAGTCTTCATAAGGAGGAAGATTGAGTCCCTTGTGGCAGCCCTCGGTCCGCCCATCCCATGCTGGGGATCAGCCTCTGGGGGCCCCGCCCCAGCCAAGCGGGCCACAGCTGGGAGAAAGGAAGGAGCTTAGTGCAAATATAAATACCTTTAATGAAAGCCATGCGCACTCTGGAGAGCCAGGAGAGCGGCCACTGGTGCAGGGCTGCAGGCACAGGAGCTGCTACCTGACCAAACCAGCTAGGCCAGAGGCCCCAGGAGGCAAGCAAGCGCCAGAGCAGCGGCCAGCAGTGGGGGTGCTGGGGCTGGGACGGATATAGGCGCTGTCGCCCGCAGGGTCTCCTGATTGGTCTCCGAGCCTGCACCGTGCTCCCAGACACGCACTGGGGCACTGCACAGAGTGTGTAAGTTATCTGGGTGTGGGGCCCGGCGAGCTTCTTGCTGTAGTGACTCCCACACAGCAGCCGCCTCCTCTGGGCAGCCAGACAGGACTTGTGAGGCACAGGCATGGAAGTCATTCCAGGATCTGTTAATGGAATGGGATTAGGGGGATTAGGTGGCACAAGGAAGGTGCTGAATGAGAAGGAAGAGATTCAGACCCTGCGGGTGGTGTGGGTTGGATTGCTGCCACCCGCCTGCCTGCTTCCTCCCACCTTCCCGTACCTGCAAACAGTCTCCAGCTCGCCTCCTTGGCCCATGCCGTCTCCCAAGCGGATGAGACACTCAGCAAAGCCCTGGTATATGGTGTCACAGCGGTTTGGGCCCTCTGTGGCTGCTGCTAGGGGAGGTACGAGGACTGGGAGGTGGAGTGGAGAATGGTTGATAGGGTGAGCTAGGACTGAAATCCAACCCCCAGGGGCTTGTTTACCGGGAGCACGCTGGGGACGTGACTCAGCTTGAAAAGGGCACCCCGGGGGAACTCAGGGGCCTATCTGGGGATCATCTATCTTTGCCCCCTTCAAGATGGGACTAGAACTGGGATACATGGAAGGGGCAGGGGACACTGTCCCACTGAGTGATTCTTCCTCTGAGCTTCTGGAGCCCCAGATTTGGTGAGAATGCTCCAAATGAAGGAGTCAGAACAGGTGGAGAGGGGTGGAGTCCAGAGGCCTCTGCCTACAGGGGCTTTGCTTGGCCCTCCTGCCTTGCGCCCAAAGGTAGCTAATGTCTCAGCTGAAAGTGGGCAGGAGAGGGGCTGGGATCCATGTCAGATCCTCACAGAAGACCTCAAGGATCCTAAGGCTGGACTAAGAGTGCCACCAGACTATGGCTCCCTTTATCAAAAGATGGGTTGGGGGATCTCAAGGTCTCTTCCCAAAACTGGAGCTCAGTTGGTACCTCTTTCAATCGTGAAGCCAGTGGCACTCCCTTGAAACCCACACACTTCCATTCTACCCTGGCAATAAACCAGGAAAACTGTGCCCCCAGCTCCTATACATCCCCTTTACCCAGTCTGGCAGGGGCTCAGTGAGAGGGGTTGTAGCCCCGGCCAGGTCCAGGACACCCACACTCACCAAGTGGCAGCAACAGCAACAGCTTCAGGGCACGGTGTGGCCGCCGGCAGTGGCGGCAGCAGCACCAGCAGCAGCAGCAGCGTCGGCAGCAGCGCATCGTCCCTGGCTGGGAGCCTAGTGCTGGAGCTAGCAGCTCAGAGAGAAGCCGTCGGCCCAACCCCCGGAGGCAGGGAACGTGATTGGATGGAAGCAGAGGCGGGGCTCCTTAGCCAGCCAGAGGCTCCGCCTCCAGTACCCACAAAGGCAAAGCAACAAGGAAGGACCCCAGAGAGAAGTAGTGCTCATGGACACAGGTTGTTGTTGGACTTGCCCTTGGACCCTTACCCCAGAGGCAGAGATCTGAGAAGGCAGATGAGCAAATGAAGAAGGGTGCCCAGACCCCTGGGGTGGGCTGGTCTGGGCAGAGTTTTCCAGGGAAAGAGAGCCAGGGAACAGAGAGGGCAGTTATCGGAGTCACACCAAACACACACACACATATTCCATTTTATTCCAAAAGCATTTAATTGAATTTCTCAATGTTTTTCAAAAACAAAAAGATCCAAATCAGAGGTAAAAAGAACATGGAAAATTCAACTCAAATGGTGTCACAATCTCAGGGTCATGCTCCAGGTACGGCAGAACCCAAGAAGGCACAGTACCTGCCCTGGGCCCAGCCGAAACCTGATGGCTACCACAGTCTGTAGGCCACGGCCAGTTGTCCCTGCCCCCTCCACTCCGAAACATTGCAGAGTTGGGGGCCTCAGCAGGTAAATGGCAGACAATGACCCGCCTTGGCCTAAGCCTGTGTATCAGCCTTCAGTGCCAACCACCCCCGGACAAGGCGGGCTTAGCTGCTAAGGGAGGCTCGGGGTCACAAGGCCGTGCAGCATGAGGCTGAGACGCCGGGCCGCTTTGCCAAGTGAGTTGTGTGGCTCAACCTGCAGGAACTGGAAGAGCTTCTGGCGCACCTGGGCCATAACGGAGCCCATGTGGTCTCGAGTGATGGGATCACTGTGGTCCAGGTGCATCACAGCCTCTTCCAGGTAGCTGAGGATGAGGGGAAAGGACAGACTACAGGTGGGTGCCTGCAGATGGGAGCGCCCTCTGGTGGCACTGAAGCACAGAGGGAAACCAAGCCTCAGATGGGCTGGGGCAGAGGATGGGGGAGAAAATTAGGCTGGGAAACTGCTCCCTCCCTGCCCTCCAACCACAGCTTGTCTCCTAGTCTGTAACTCACCTGAGCTTGAGGTCAGTTCGAGTGCCAAGGTCTGATGCCAGCTGCTGGATGAGGGAAAGGAGCACGGGCTGGGAGAGTGGGCAGGGTGGTTGCCCAAAAACCTGGGCTGGGTCCACAGTTTCACACACATACAGCACCAGGTTCAGGTCAGCAGCTGTCAGAGCCTGGCGGAGAACAGGACAACAGCGTTTCTAGTTCCTATCAGGATGGAACACCTGTTTGTACTGTGTGGCTCAGGGGAGGATTACCACACCTTGAGGTGCTGAGTGATACAGAGTACTCTAGGGCTGTACTGTTATCCTAGACCAGGAAAGCTTTCCTGAGAAGGGCTGTTGTGAAAAAAGGTGGGCTGAGGTGGGGAGAAAGGGATCCAGACAAGGGAGATGGTCTGAAAGCCAAGAAAAGCCAAGAGTACTCCACTGGGGCAGAATGGCCCAGTGCCTGGTGGAAGGTATGAAAGGTATGTTGTATGGGCCTGCTTAGGATTCACCTGATCCCTACCCAGACCAAATAACTGTTGTACCTGCTGGAAGGCCTGATTGAGGTGGCCCTGCTGCAGCAGCTGCAGGATATGGGCTTGCTGGGCCTGGCAGTCGAGATGGGCAGAGGGGACAGGTGTGCCAGCAGCTGAGCGCATGGCCTGCATGATGCTGGAGGTGACAGCAGCCTGCTGCTCCTTGAGTGCCACGCTCACCTCACCTTTAACGATACGTTGTACCTGTGCTAAAATTGACTCCTGCAGGCTGCAAATGAAAGCAACACCGATAAGGTGGACAGGGCGCCCAATGTGAGCCTCCCCAAACCCACTACCTCGGCTAATGCCCCACTCACACACCTGCCCACAGCCACGTGCAGTTGGTGCTGCACCTCAGCCCGAACGCTGCTGGACACAGTGGCCGCCATCTGCTCAGTGGCACTTTGCAGCGTGCTGACCAGGCCCCGCAGCTGAGCCAGCACAGGTTCCCGAGCTTCCTGTTCCCGTGCTTTCCGGCTCTTCATGTGACTTTCTAGCTGCTGCAAGTCTGAAGGGTAACCGCAGGGACTGTGACAAGACTGGTAAGAGAGGACAGCCCCGCCCACGCCGGGGCATATGACCCCACTCACATTCCTGTGTGCCCAGCCGGAAGCTATCATTGATCTGCTGGAACATGGCCTGGCAGCTCTTCTCAAAGGCAGGCAGCACCACACTCTGGAAGGCTTCACGGTAAGCAGCCTGCATTGGCCCCTGTAATGTGTCTGCAGCTGCTCGGGCAATGGCATCTGTCAAGTTCTAATGCGGAGGGAGGGGCTGAGTTGAAACCCTGAGCCCACCTTGGCCTAAGCCCACCAACACCTCACCCCCTACCATCTTAGGTCCTGTATCACCTTGGACTTGAGCAGTTTAGAGATGTTCTCTTTCATGCTGCCCTCCACAGCTGTGAGCTTGGTAGCCACTGAGTTACTCAGTTGACCTGCCACGGGCTCCAGACTCCTGGAGACACCTGAGGAGCAAGGGGCAGGTAGAGTCAGGGAAGGAAATTTGACAAGCACACCCACCCCCACCTGGCCCACCCAAAGCAAGTCTTCACACAGAACTCACACGGAGGAACCGTCTTCTTGATTTCATCCCGAATGCTGCGCTCCAGCCGCCCAGCCACAGCTGAAGACAGTGCCTGGGAAAGCTGCTGGGTCAGCTGCTCCTGCAGCTGCCCACCCCGCTGCTGCCCCTCAGCCAGTGCCCGCTCCAGCCGCCGCTCTGCACTGCAGCTAAGGAACAGGTCTGGAACAGCTGCCATACCCCTTCCTGGGCCAAGGATGCTGCCTCTACTTCTGTGCTATGCTGGACTGTGCTACGACCCTCAAGGATACGTTCCTGTTCATGCCGAGTCTCTAGTGCTCGTTCCACATGGCCTGTGACCGTGCTCTGCAGGCCTTCGAGCTGGGTACACAGGCGCTGCAGCAGTTCTTCTTGGTTGTGCCGCAGCTCTGCCAGCTCTCTCTGCTGTTGCCAAATTAATGCTGGCCAGTCCTCAGGGGGCTCTGCCACCTGCCAGCAGTACTGACAGTCACACACCAGACACCACACAGACCAGGGAATGCCCCAAAGTCCTTTCCCACACTTACAGGATGGGGTCCCATGAGAAGGAAGGCGTGCTTGTTCTTACCTGGTGCTCTGTAAGCCGGGATCCCACGGCTGAATTCCTGCCATAGGTGAGAAGCACCTCAGGCCATGTCTGGTAGCCAGGAGACCATCCCTCTCCTTGGTCCCAGGATCCCCCTTACCCATCATCCTTCTTGCTTTTCCGCTTGAGCTTGGGTGAAGCCCGAGGAGATCCCTTGGTTTTCCAGTCCTTGACAGGCAGCCGAGGAGGGGGAACTTTGGTGCCAAAGCCTCCTGAGGCAGAAGCAAGGCTGGCCACCTCATCATCATGGTCACTGTGGGAGGCAGAGGGAGGGCTGAGTATCTGACCACCCGTTGCCCTCCCCTATGAGGGGAATGGTGTGGGGTGGTGCCCACCTTTGCTCAGCACTAGTGTCCTGGCTATCATGTTGCTGCAGCAGGTGATAAGGTGGTCGGTGGAAGGCCAGGCTCTTGTGCTTTTCCTGGAGGCCGTTCCTGGGGCTGGAGGAAAGTCCAACTTAGCAGTGAATCACTATAGGAAGCCCTTCCCACCACTTCTCCCCTTTTAAGCTCCTCACCTCTCTGCCAGAGTGGGACAGGTCTCACGAGTAATATCAGGCGCCGTAGGCCAGACCTGACTATCAGGAGTCACAGCCTCCTGGGTCAAGGCTGCCTCCAGGAGGGAAGGGGTACTATGCCGATCTCCGTCCCCAGGGCCTCCATCTAGGCCAAGCTGGGGGCCAAGCTCGGGCCCTGGACGGGGCCGTGGGGATAGCAGGTGTAGTGCTGAGGCAGCTGAGGCCATACTGTCTGGCTCAAGGCCCTCAGGGGCAGAGGAGCCAAAGCCACGGGACAGGGCCTCAGACGCAATCTCAGGGATGTCCTGGGACAGGGCAGTGGAAGCCGAAGAGATAACATCAGGGGAACGGGTACGGCTGGGGGAGGCCTGGGGTAGTCCTAGAGGTTCTACTTCCTGCAGCTCCAAGGACAGTGCAGAGGCAGCAGGAGGTACCTGAGGTGGGCCAAAGATGGGGGATTAAGTGATGGACCGGGGAGTGGCAAAGCACAGATCTAAGACACTGGTATTAGTACTGGCGAGAGACAGCGGTGAAGCGGGGTATAGGTCAAAAACAGCACCACAGCCCAGGAAAGGAGGGAGGGATGGGGAGGTCGACATGACCTCAGGAGAAACAGGAAGCAGTGGAGCAGAGCAGGGCCAGCAGAAAGGGTGTATGGGAGCAGACGACTGCCAACCTTTCCTGCTGCCATCTACTTGCTACCTTGTACTTCACACACACACACACACCTGCCCAGGCCCTTTGGGAGTCAATTTGTCGGCTGGGCCTGGGAGTAGGCCAGGCAGGAGGCTGCGTGGGCTTGCCTGAAGGCTGCTGCTGCCACTCACTGTCAGACTGCCGTCCAGCTGCAACTTGGGGCTCAAGGTCAGCTCCTCGGGTGGCCTGGTGGCAGGAAGGCTGAGGTATGAGCAGCCAAAGCTTGGCATTACTTGAAACCAGACCCTCCCATACTCCATGTCTGACCCTCGCCTCACCTTGGCAAGGAGGGCTCCACAGCTGAAGTGCTGCTCATAGCAGACACAGCTGTAAGAGAGCTGCTGCTGCTACTGCTACTGCTGCTGCTACTGCTGCTGCTGCTGCTGCTGCTGCTAGGGGATGCAGTGATCTGGGGAGATGTAAAGAGTAAGGGCTGTGGCCTGTGGGTGGGGCACTCCCAGGTCCCCCTACCCTGGGGAAGTACCTGCTGTAGGGAGGCAGTGGGCGTCATGAAGGCATCAGGTGTCATTAACTTGGGTTTGGTCTCACTGCTCAGACTGAGGAAGTCAGCAGGTGCAGGCAGCTCTACAATGCGTCGCAGGTCAGGCTGGGAGCCAGGAGAGGCAGATCCCAGGCCTTCAGAGCCTAGTTCAGATCGAGACTCTCCAAATGCTGTGGGGAAAGCTAACATGTGAGTCAGATCTCTGGCCCCAGTGAATCCAACTGGCTTCCCTTTCACCCTTCGCTCACCAAAGTCCTCATGGGATGTGTGGGTGGGGAGTGGAGCTACCACATCAGGGTTCAGCTGTGGCTGGAAGCGGATCTGCACATCTTGCAGTGCCCTGCAGGAAGAGAAGAGGGAAAACAAGAGTGCTCAAATGGGCCAGGGTGAGTAAGGAGCAGGGAGGGACCCAGGTAAGGTGCTGAGGGGTCTCCCAACATGCTTACTTAGTATGCACACAAAAGAGCTTGATGAGCACACCAGCTGCAGACTCCATGGCACCAGCTCCCTGAGTACCATCTGAAAGGACAGCATGGGTGCTTCAGCCCCTGACCTTCCCTGTGCCTTGGACCCCCACACACCAACATACAGCCCTGACCTCAAGGCAGCTCACCAGCCCCCAGACTGTCATTCTCCTCCTCGGCAGGCAGCACTTCAGTGTGCCGCAGCCGGCAGCGACTCACAACCTGGATCCCAAAGCTCAGCACTGGGTGGGTCAGGAGGAACTCCGAGATGGAACTGAAGCAGGCACGGCCCTCTTCCTGGTTCTGCAGCAGCTCCATCACATAGAGGACCTGCACAGGTGGCATGTTCCTAGGTGAGCTCAGAGGCTGTGAGGGCTGCAGACATGCCACACACCCTGCCCCGAGTGCCCCCATGGCAGCCTACCTTTCGTTGCACATCGCTGAGAATCAGGTATTCTGCTGAAAGGTCTAGGCAAACCTTGAGGCTGGGGGGCACACTCACTGAGCTGAAGATATCTGGGGAGAAGCTAGGGAGCCGCAGAGCAAGTAAATGAGAATGGGTGTTCAAAGAGGCCACATCCCCAACCTTTAGGCCCATGCCCAGCACCCAGCACCTACTCACCGAATCGTCTGCAGGCAGGTCCAGGACACTGTGCACCACATCTTCAACTCCCGATTCTGGTCAGCGCCAGTAATGAGGAACCTCCAGAATGGGACCCTGCAAAGCAGCAAGGCACTGAGTGGCTGCCTGTGCACCCTGCTAGGAGCCCCTGTTCAGTCCACTGCCCACCTGCCTGCCCACTCACTCACTCAGGGTCCTGTTTCTTATGGTTGTCACAAAACAGGAGACAGGAGAGAGGCCGCCCATCATGAGGCTTCCACTCATGCAGGCACCTGTATGCAGGCAGATGAGGGACTTGAGTGAGCGACTGGCTCTCCTACCTCAGGGGGTTCTGGTCCCTTAAGCCTGGCCTTACCTTGGCTCATCCTGCCCCTCAATGTAGATCTGCCAGAACTTGACATAGCCATCATGGCTCGCAGTAGCCAGGACAGTTCCATCAGGGGAGAGGGCACCTTCACTTAGGCACTGGGAAAAACCCAAAGAGTTTTGCTTTGCCATCTTACTACAGGTAGGAATGAGCTCTTTCCAGGTGAGGGCAGTAGTGAGCTGGGCTGACCCACAGTGGACCCGTACAATTGTGTGGCTGACTGAAATGAGGGGGGTGGTGCTTTAGAAAAGACCAGACCTGCAGGGCACAGCTAGGTTAGGAGTAAGCTCCACAGGTGACGGCTGTTTTGAGCTCAGTCTCCATGGGTGGAGTGCTAGTCAAGCTGCCTGGGCAGCTGTGGACACAGGGAACAGATGTGGGGCAGGGAAGATGGTCAGTTGCAGACATACCGTGCTGTGGCCTTTTACCACAATGAAGCCCTGCTTGATGTGGCTGACATCCACGGGCCAGGTGCTATGGTTGGAGCGGAGCATGTCTAGGTCCCACACCTCAGCCTGGAGTATACGGGGAGGTGAGTGCTCAGCCTATGCCTTCAATATGGCTGCTTTGTTGCCTCCCCCACTGTGCCCAGTTCTCTCACCCGGTCTTCATGCAGCAGGGCCACAGTAGGGCTGCTTTCCTCACAGCAGTCCTCACTCTCCTCTGGGATGAAGGGGCACCAGATGATCCTGCGGAAGTGGTTCAGTGGCGTGCCCTCTGGCTGCTGGATATGGACCAAGATCTCTTCTCTGAGCAGGGAGTTAAGGGCTAGATAGGTAGATGATGATGTGTGTCTGAAAGCCCCCACAACCCCATGCCCAAAAATGGATACTGAATTTTGCCATTAACCAGAGCCAAGCGCCACACGAACAGGTTGCCTGCCTCATCCAGGCAGGCCAGCTGTGGAGAGTTGAGGTGTGCGAAGGCCAGGTCAGCCACGCTGCCTGTGAAGCCCTTCAGCAGAGTCCGCTCTGAAGTGCTGACACTGATCACCCGCACCATCGCGGAGCCATTGTTGGCAGCTGCAATTAGGACAGCAGTGGGTAATGAGTGAGTATCCAGGCAGCTGAGAGAAGCCCGACCCTTGCCTGCATCACCGTCACCGCCAAAGCCACCACTGTCATCTCAGGCTTGGGTTTCCCCACCCGGCTTTCCAAGGCCTGGGCAGCACGGACAAGCCTTCTTTTGCGCCCCTAAGGTCTGATTGGGCTGACACTGGTTCTGGATCTCTGGGTTTCAGGCAGAACTCTTCTCTGCTCTACCCCTACTCACCCCGAATGGCGTAGGCCAAGAAGGAGTTAGACACAGCAATCAGGTTGCCATAGTAGTACTTCTGCTCCCAGTCGTATTTGGCAACAGGCTGGATTTTCACCTGAGAAACCAGAATGAGGGAGGTCATAGAAGCTGAGGGCTGGGGCAGCTTCCCCTGGGGCTGAGAGGGGGGTCCCAGCAACCTTAGGGATGAGAGAGGCTACCGGTGCAATCCATGCCATCCAAATCCTGAGAACAGATTCCCACAGAATCTAGGCAGCCAACCCTGGCTTCCTGAAACTGGGGCATACTACCTATTTTTCAAGGTGGTCCTCATGAGAACTGGCAGCATGGGGGAGAAAAGAGAGGATGGATGTGCCCCTAGGTGTTACACAGAATACCATGAAATCTTGGTACCTACCTTGTTGCTCCCCCGTGCCTTGCTCGAAATACTAGAGTCACTGCTGGCCACAATCTCCACCTCCTTGGCCAAAATCCCAATGCAGGTAGAGCTGTCATCTCCTGAGAGGCAGCTGGGAGAGGGGTGCACAACCCTTGTCTCTTGTTCACCCAAAGGTTCAAAGGGCAGGGTTGGGAGGAGAAAAGGACACAGCCACCCCAGTGAAGGCAGGTATAATCCCAAGTGCTCAGTTCCCCTTGCTCACCTCCTTCCTTGAGGATGAGCTTACTTTCACCCTAAACCAGGTGTCCGGGCCAAGCCCTTGATCTCGTCCTCACCCCCGACCCCCAGGAGGGATAAGCCGAAGCTGCTTATCCCTCCTGCCTCTCCATCTCATGCCTTCAGTTAGCAGATGCCCCAAAGACACCCTCACCACCAATGCCACCTCTCAGGCTACTCACATGACCTGTTTCTCCTGCAGGTTAATAGGTGGCATGGTCCGGACACCAGGCTTGGCTGTTGCAGTACCATCACCTGAGCAGAGAGGGTCTGGGACCAGGAGCCCATTGAGGTCCCCATTATAGGCGTTGGATGGCCGCTGGCTGTCCACACTGGGGCCTGAGGACAGAGAGGGCCACCCTGACAAGGTTGCTCCACTTGCCCGCTAGCCCCTTCAGAGCTTCTTTCCAGAACCATGAACCCTCAGCTGAGCAAGGCATTTTTGTTTCTCTATCTTTTAAGATTTTATTTATTTGAAAGTCAGCGTTACAGAGAGAGAGGGAGAGCTAGAGAGAGATCTTCCATCTGCTGCTTGACTCTCCAAATGGCTACAATGGCCAGGGCTGAGCCAGGCCAAAGCCAGGTGCCAGGAGCTTCTTCCAGGTCTCCAATGTAGGTGCAGGGGCCCACTACTTGGGCCACCTTCTGCTGCTTTCCCAGGTGTGTTAACATGGACCTGGATCAAAAGTAGAGCAGCAAGGACTCAAACCAGCGCCCACATGAGCTGCTGGCATTGCAGGCAATGGCTGTACCTGCTATGCCACAACGCCAGATCCAAAGCAAGGCATTTTCATGGGAAAGAGAGCCCTTTGTTCATCTCTTGTCCAATAAACTAATGTATACCAGGACAAGGCTGAGCGTGAGGCTCTTCTACCTGCAGGAAGTGAACAAATCTTCAAGGACCCTCTGAGGCCAATTAGCACATCGAACTCTGTGTACTTGAGGAAGGGAATGGCAAGAGTTAGGAAAGACTTCACAGAGAAGGCACCACCATAGCCACTGTGGCCAGAACACAAACATGAGGAGGACAGAGGAGAAACAAGGCTGCAGAGGCCTCAAGTATGATGTTGGGGTACCCAGACTCTCCCTGTGAGCTATGAGAGCCACAAAAGAGTTTTAAAGGGGAAAGTGGCAGGGTCAGCTGTTGCCAGTGGGCTGACTGCTCTAAGGAAGCATACAAAACAGTTGAGAATTTACTGACAACAGGGCCTAGACCAAGATAGTGGCAGGGTTTGGAGAGGAGATGAGTACCCAAGGCAGAGAAGGACACTGATCGGATGTGGGGATATGAAAGGAAGAGGCCCTGCCCACACAGAAAAAGCTCAGAAGAGGCTACCTCAGGCAGGAAAGGCAGAAGGAACAGACTCGAAGGAGCTAGATACAGAGAAGAGAAACAGTGAGGTGGGTGTGGAGTCAGGGGAGACAGCAGTTCAGTTGTTGGCATCAGCTGGGTCTCAAACACTCTCATAGGCTCAGACATTATTGCTTAAATTTCCAAGTGGCAAGGAAACTATGGCTCCACATTTAGGAATGTGGCAAGTTTCCAGTCACAAAACAGGTTGAGGTCCTACAACAAGAGGAGACAATCAAGAGCTTCCAACAGTGAAACGAAGTGCAAATCAATGCGAGCCACCTTAGCTGCTCAGGCATAAGCCGGCCACTCTCCCTTCCATGCAGCCTACCATGAGGATAAGCAAACAGCAGGCCCAGGCTGCACACAGTTGGCCATGCCAGGCTCTACTGAACCTCTGCGGAGTCTAGTCTGCTCAGCAGCCCATTAGCACGAACGCCCCAAGCCAAGCTCCCAAGAAGGGGTGCACACACTCCAGGCTTGGGGCAAAGAGCCCAGTGGTCTAAGAGAGCAGGTAGATTTTCACAGGCAGTCTGGGTAAGCTAAATCCACTCAGAGTGAGCATCGGTGCCTGAAGCGGTCGGGCGGAACCTTCCAGCAGGTGGAAGAACTAGGTCTGAGGAAACATCAGTTCTCAGCTGAGGCCACTGCACACCCACCCCACCATCACCAGTCAATCCTTGAACCATCACAGCTTTTTACAGATCCCTGAGCCTGTCAGAGAACTTGAGTGCCTTCACATGGGCTATTTCCTTTTTGCAATAAATAGGAGGTTTCTATGTAGTTGTCTTGGGTGCGTTTCCTGACACTCAAGACCCAGCTTACACAATCTCCTCTGTCAGTGCTGTGCTCTGCAATCTCCAGCTCCCATTCAAACCTATTCCCACCAAAGCATCAAAACACTTCTCTTTCCACGACAACATTAGATCACAATCCTTAGCTCTCTGTGTCCTGAAGGCTCTTTGAGGTCAAAAGCAGTTCTGAGATTCACTAAGAGCCCGAGTAAAATCTGAATGAATGGGAACACATTAGAGCTTGTGGATGCTATAGCCTAACCCGATCAGCGCAGCTGCCTCCAACTCAGACAGATGGGACCTGGGGCTGGCCACCTTTCTTCTGGAACTCAGTTTCCCAACAGGCCTGGGTTCTGCATTCCAGAGGGAAAGGCAAGGTGCAGAGGGGGACCAGCATCCCTCCAGCACAACGCTTAAATCCAGGTCCAGAACTCGGTATACAGAGCGGGAGCCCTGCAGGTGCTGAACCCGTGTCAAAGAGGAAGAGCACTGAGACAGCTCCAGGAACAGATCTTGAGGCCAGGAAACCAGAGGCGTCCAGTGGATTCAGAGAGGGGGACTTCACCTTCAGCCGAAACGCTGAAGGTGAAGAATGGCCTGGCGCGGGGATGGGGAGAGTCACACTCAGGGGTCTGCGCCTACCGCGGGGTAAGCTCAGGGATCCAAGGCTCCGACTCCCATACGCCCTCACCGGTCGGGAGAATACAGACGTAGTCCTTAGGGACTTGCGGGCCCTAAGAGCGGTTCAGACCCACGCATCCCTTTTGCTTGTTCGCTGAGGGCCCACACCCGCTATCCCCGCTCACCCGCCGCGGGCCGGTCCAGCTTGAGGATGTCCCGCAGGTGCTGCGTGGCGTCCTCGATGTCGATGCTCGCGCAGGAGGCCATGGGCCCAGCCGCGGGCGCCCCACCCGCACGACGTTCGTTCCACCGCGGCCGCGCACAGCCCAGTCTCGCCCAGCCTCGCAGGGGCCAGACACCCGGACGCAGGTCACTACTCCGTCCACCCGCAGCTAGCAAACTGCCGCCCGCGCTGCGTCCTCAGCTCCACCAACCCCACCAACCGCCTCCACTTCCGGCCCCCGCGAAGCTCCGCTCCCGGAACCTGAAAGAACTAGAGAACAAAGGTTCCGGGCTGGTGACGAATACCTCGGCTTTCCGGAGCTTGCCTGGGCTCACAGCAGTCTCTGTGCCGGTAGGGTCAGGGAAGTTCCACAGGGTGAATGTCCACGTACTGGGACACCCTAAACCTACTCGTTTCAGGAATCTCGCCTGGTCTATGCTCACTCCGAAAATGTAACTGATGACGATCCTACAACAGAGATCCTACATGTTGGCCGCCCAGGCTGTGGTCCCTCAGTCTCTCAGGAATTCGCTGAACTGGCAGGAGCCTTAGTTGCCTTTGGGAAATGGGTGGGGATAGTCTAGTCTGAGGGGACCTGCAAAGCCATAAAGCTCAGGAACTACAAAGACATGGGTGACAACCCCACTAACAATGATCACAATCATTCCTGTGTCCCCAAGCCGGCCCTGGTCCCAGCTGGCACTCAAGGAGGAAGAAAGAAACCACAGTTTACAAACACCTCTTTATTGCAGACAATTCAGGCACAGGTACATGGAAGAAGCTGTATTGCAGATTTTATACAGGGTGGTTTAAGAGGTAGCAAGCTTCTACCTCTCCCCCACCCCCACATACACGGCAGCTTAGAGATCCAGTCCCACTGAAATCTCCCAGATACGCTGTCTCCGCAGACAGCACATTATCCAGCCCTGTGCCCAGTGCAGCCAGGCAAACTGTGGCATCTGAGGGAGTCCTTAGCTTCCACCCACAGTGGAGATGAAGGGTATCCATTCGCAGGTCAAGCTTGGCTATGGTGCCCTCACTGAGCCTAAGACCCTTTCAGGGCATTAGCCCAAATCCTAGGTTGGGTTCCGGCCTGCAGTTGCTATTTTGCCCTTAGGTTTATACCATTCAGAGGTCTCAAGGCTACATTTGCACTGGGCAAGGCCTCTGTCCCCAAAACTGAGAAGCAGAAATTGCCCTAATAGTTAAGACTTCTGGAATTTGAAGACGATGTGGAGTGTGTGTGTGTGTGTGTGTGTGTGTGTAAGATCAGGAGGGACTAGGAGGAGGCCTGGAAACTCCCTGCAGAGGTCTGAGGGGTGAGAGCATGAGACCCTCACACTCAGATTGTCTTCCATAGCTCCGTATCTCTACTCCAACCCAATGGGGCCTGCCTCTGAGTACAACGGAGGCTGGCTGTTCTGGACACAGGTAGCACACGATCTGAGCTGCCCTTTGCTTGGGTTGGGGGATGTGGGGTATCCTGGATGTGATCATGATCCTTTTGGGGAACACAGCAGGTCCCTTCCTTGATCTTGATAAGATATTAGCCCATAGGACCTGAATTTGATGGGCCATTTTTGCCACGTCCTCTGTGGTTTCAGCAGGATTCAGGGTTATCTCTTACAAACTAGAGTCCTCAACCTACAAAGGACAGGGGCCACAGGAGGTGGCAGAACTGCCTGCAGAGGCTTCAGTGCAAGGGACGCTTCAGTCAAGACCTGAGCTCTCCCTGTCTGCTTTCCAAAGACCAGGTGGGCTGAGAATTCTGCTCCACAGGGCTTTTGAGGGAAGCAAACTGGGAGTGCTGCTTCGGCAAGTTTTCTCCTTGCAACAGGTTTTGCTGAGTTGGGGGCAGAGGTGAGAGGGAGACGAGAGACAATGGGGCAGGGTAATTACTGATGCCCAGCCAGCTAGTAAACTAATTCAAACAATTTAAACTGTTAAGAAAAGTTTTGTGGTTTTATTGTATCATGAGGCATTGAAACATCTGAACAAATCAATATCTGGGCGGTGAGGCAGCTGCTTTCTCCTTCACTTCTTTGGGTTACTAGAGCAACTTGTCAGTAGATTAAAAAAAAAAAAAAAAAAAAGACAACCTTTTGCATTATTTAAGTCTTTCCAAGGCATGCGCTGGTACAACACAAACTTCTCCTGTCAGATGCAACTAGTCTAGAGTCCAAACATCATGCACAACACCTTGGTGGCAGCAGCGCACCGCGCCCTCTCCCACCACGGCCCTGCTCGTTTGTGAATGATATTTGGAGCATCTGGAGGAGTGTGAATAGTATCAGGAAGAGGAGGGAGGAGGAAACAGCGTTGAGTGCCTGGCTGGGAGGAGGTCAGCCGAAGTTGTGCAGGGCAAGCCTGAACATGTCATTGGTGCAAACCCAAGCATCGTTGATGTTCTTTAATAGGAACATCTGGTGGAATCCCATGATAGGGTCTTCGTCAGCCTGTAAGAAGAGAAAACGATTCCGTGAGAGCCAAGGAACAGAAAGGGAGTTAGTAGTTGGGGAATGAGGCAAAGAATACGAACCTTGGGATCATACTGTACTAAATCCTAGTATAGGCAAAGGGTATTTATGAATTAATACATCAAACACTGCACTGGGACACAGTGGTCATGAAACGACAGTTCACATTGTTCTGTGCTTCAAGTGCAGAATAATTCAGCAAGTTAGCTACTGCGACAGAGCAGATGACACATCTGCTTCCAAACTCATGTCTCTGGGTACAAGTTACCAAAATTTGGAAAGAATCCCACAGTACTTATTACAGAACTTACAGTATCAAAAAACTGTAACAGACTCACTGTTTGATAATGCCACTCAGTCCAATCAGGAGAAACTGCTGCAAATACTAACTATGGGCAAGTACGTGAGAAAAGGCTCAAAACTGGGTTTATGATGTGGTCACAGCTCTACAGGAAAAAAGAAAGCCATAGTCTCACCATCAGGTGATCTGTTTCCTGTCATCATACAACATCTGCAATGGAAACAGAATGGCAAGAAACTCTAGCCCAGCTGCAGAAAACCAGGATGAGGCACAGTTTGAAGCAGGTCAGCTAACCAGCTCTGTCTCTAATATCACCCATTTTTCTGTGCATTAATGTTAGTAAGGAGGCAAATTAGTCATCTGGGGGCTCCAAGTTGGACAGAAATACCAGGAAGAAACTGGGAAGATGGGAAGGGGCTCCACTTTCTACCCCAGCCTATAAGTTGGTACTGAGCTCCCCGGAGAGACTGTCTGCATCCTGAGGGCCTATTGGGCACAGGCTCTGGGCAGGGCATCTTGGACAGGCAGGGAAAACTGACAGTAAGGTCCAAGACAGAAGGACGATACTCTGGGTCCACTGCAGAGTCTTAAGGCACCTTCCCTCCATGCCCACACTAGATTCAGGAGGCCCTGCCTACCTTGTCCAGAGAGGAAGGATTTGAGCCTGTTACTGTGAGCCCTACCACAACACGTTCCCAGGAAGTTGAGACTGGGCCATTTGGGAAGGAGGGGCTTCTTGGAAACAGGGAACCGGCTTCACTCTATCAGGCACTGAACAGGTTCCTTGAGAGTTCTGGGAGGGGTCTGAGGGTCCATCAGAAGGTTGTGAGGATGACAGGTTATAAATAAGGAAAGGGAAAATGCAAGTCTGCTTTGCAGGTCAGGAGCTAATCTGGGGAGTGGCAGCATGGGCTCTAGGAGGGACTGTCTCTTAGTATTCAGCTGGCCTGGCCACCTATGCCTTGAGTTGTGTCAGGGCCCAGGGTCTTAGCACTACAGCTTGCTCCTATATCTCCTGTCCCTTTTCCAAAAAGGCTCTAGACCACTGTTGTCAAATTGAACTTTCTGTAATCACAGAAATGTTCTGTATCAGCACTGTCCAATAGGTACTCACATATGACTGATTATGAGCACTCAAAAACATTGCTAATGGACCTGAGAACTTTAATTTTAATAAAAGTCTTTTAAAAATTGTTCCACGTGACTGATGGCTATCATATTGAACTACACAGCTCTGAACAGTTACTCTGTGTGCTTATTGATAACCGGGTCACATGCACAGGAAGAGCAGGGGCCCAGGGTCCTCTCCTGCCCACCCCTCCCCCAGTACTGCAGCAGCACTATTACCTTGAGCTGGCCCACAACCATGCTGATGATGCAGCTATCTGGCGTGGGCTGATGGTCCTGTGCCGTGATGCTGTGCTGGATTTTCTGGAAGGGAAGGCTCTACAAGAGAAAGAGTGGTCAGTGGGCTGAAAGAAGCCAGAAGACGTGGGGAAGGAGTCGCCTGCATCCCAGCTCTGGCCCTTACTTACAGACAACTTCTCCACAATGGCAGCTTTCCCTTGGAACTGCTGTCCTTCCCACGTAAGGCATGACGCATCAATCTGCAAAAGGCAGGCAAAGTCCAGGGTCAGAGCCTCAGAACACAAAAGTGATCTCTAAGGACACCAAAAATGGGAGAAATGAGTGCCCATCTCAGTTTCCGTATCTGAACAGAGGGAACTGAGGGTAGCTCCCACTTTACACTATTATGACTTCTTTAATTACACATCCTTTTTCTGAGGTTAGATGCTGACAGACTATTTAACAAAATATACCCACTAGGCTCATTTCCCATTTTTATTCAAGAAGTCATATGGCCTCAGACATGCTTGTGCCTCAGGAGTGCCACAGTGGCCTGGGTTCACACAAAAGCCAACCTGCTGTGAGGTCAGTAAGCCTCAATTCCAGAGAAGTCTTTAGAAATAACGTGCAAACATCTCATTTCATTTCCATTTCCAGGGCCATGGCAGAGTTCCACTGTGGCCCTTCCAGCGAGCCTTCTGGGTACTCACAGGGTCAGGGATGGATAGAGGCTGACAGGGCCTAGTCCGGGACCCTCTCTGCCTCCACAGATAATCCCATAGGCAACTCACTAGGTAAGTCGTCCTCACCCCTCCAAAACCTCCCTTTCACCTTTCACAACCTTCAGGGACAGAACGCAAAAGGGCCTCTGCTACACACTAGCTGTGATATTACGTAAGTCACTTATTTTTCTGAGTCTGAGTTTCCTAATCTTCAAAGAGGAAATTTGCTGAAGATTATGAAACAATATATATACGTATATACTGTGTTCTTTTAGGACCTTGCTAACTCTCCTCTCTGGGTCAGGCCTGCTTTAATTAACAGACAACGATGCAGCACTGCCAGTATAACAGAGTCAGTTCCAGTTTTTCAAAATACTCTCTCCTGGGGCAGCGTTTGACACAGCAGCTTGGGATGCCCACATCCCACATCACGGTGCCCGGTTTAAGTCTCAGCTCCTCTGCTTCTAATCTAGCTTCCTGCTGATGTGCATTCTGGAAGGCAGCAGATGGTGACTCAAATACTTGAGACTCAGATGGGAGTTCCAGGCTCCTGGCTTTGGCCTGACCCAGACGTGGCTATTTGTGTGTGTGTGTGTGTGTGTGTGTGTGTGTGTGTTTTATTTGGCAGGTAGAGTTATAGATAGTTAGAGAAAGACCCTTCTCTTCCCTCCGCTGGTTCACTCCCCAAATGGCGCCACAGCTGGCTGGTGCTGCGCAAATCTGAAGCCAGGAGCCAGGGGCTTTCTCCTGGTCTCCCATGCAGGTGCAGGGGCCCAAGCACTTGGGCCACCCTCCACTGCCCTCCCGGGCCACAACAGAGAGCTGGACTGGAAGAGGAGCAACCAGGACTAGAACCCGGTGCCCATATGGGATGCCGGCGCCTCAGGCAGGGGATTAACCACGTCAGCCACGGCGCCGGCCCCCAGACATGGCTATTTGAAGAGTGAATCCACAAATGAAAGATCGGACTCTGCCTTTCAAATAAAATGAAATAAAAAAAAAAAAAAACTTTTCTATGATAATTGACCATCAAATAATATCTATTCTGCATCTGGTTGTCCACTGGTAAAATTCCTTTCTTTCTTCCCAAAATTTTTGAATGGACCTTAATATTTTGAGGCAGATACAGAAGATCAACCAGCCAGGGGCTGCGACTAGGTCTAGAAGACTCCTATTACCCCGATTTTGGGCAGACCTGCAAGGCAGTCACCTGATCAATCGCATTTCTGTGTCTGAAACTCGGGTAGAGTCATGTATAAGTAGTTCTTGGGGACCAGTGCTATGGTATAAAAGGTTAAGCCTCCACCTGCAGTGTCAGCATCCCATACGGGCACTGATTCAAGTTCTGGCTGCTCCATTTCAGATCTGGCTCCCTGCTAATGCTCCTGGCAAAGCAGTGAAAGATGGCCCAGGCACTTGGCCCCTGTACCCACGTGGGAGACTCAGAAGAAACTCCTGGCTCCTGTCTTCGGCCTGGCTCACCCCCAGCTATTGCAGTCATTTGGGGAGTGAACCTGCGCTCTCTCTCTCTCTCTGCCTCTGGCTCTCTTTCTCTGTAACTCTTTCAAATAAATAAATAAACCTTAAAAAAAAAGTTTTTGGTGTACATAAACATTACTAAAATAGCAGCAAACAATGCCTGCATAGAGGGGTTTCTCAAAGGACATGCCAGCCTCCCTGAGATACTCCCATTTGTTTCCCATGAGCATTCAGCTTTTGGCCCCAAAAGGAAGCTGAACTTGGGACCTCTTAGAAAAGCTCAGGTTTGCACGAAAGATGCTCCAGGCTTTTGCCTCCAGAGGGCACCAGAAACCTTAGTCTCTGCCTGCTGCTGCCTAACATGGAACAGAGGTACTGTCAGGACCATGTGCTTGACCACACAGAATGGCAAGCTTACAACACCCAGCCTAGGATACCAGGTTTCTCAGTCTTGTGGAAGATGAGAGCAGGAAATGTATGAATCAGTAAGCTGGGCCAGGCATTGGCCCTTTATTCCATGGGTGGAAGTTCAGAGAGATGTGGCCAGATCTGCAAGGGCTGCCAGAGCTTGTGTGTGAACTGGCCCAGCACTTGAATTGATCCCCTGGAGCTGGATACTTACGTAAATTGCGCCTAGTTGGGTTCTGTCATTATCAAATAACTGGTAGTAATGTTGAATGAAGCTGGATCCAATCTGCTCCCAAATTGGCTTGTCTCCCATTCTGGAGCGTCACCTGGCCTTGTTGAGACCTGAAAGAGCAGCATGACAGAGAGGGATGTGTTGGTACCATGGGAGCAGGAGGTAACCACTTGCTGACCTCTATCCCTCTCTGGCTTCCTCAGGCAGTGAGTCCTTTGTTGATATTTATTCCTTCTGTGAGCATGGACAGACCCTGAGGAACTAATCGGAGACTCCTATCTTAAGCCAGACCAGTGCTAGGAGCCAAGAAGTGTAACAGACTCAGTCTTTTCTTTGAGGAGCTCCTGGATGATGAGAAAAAGAGGTGCCAGGGTGGTGGCAGACATAAGGGTGCTGAGGGTGCAGGCCCTTCAATGTCCAATAAGGGGAGGAGCCTTTAAGGAGTATCTCAATTATCTCAACAATCTGCAAGGGTAAAGTTATTGCCACCTTCCCACTTTACACTGATATCCATGTGTGGAGTGTTTTCTACACTAACCTTCAGGTGCCGGGATCTGTCCGAAGGCTTGGTTGGCAGTGACAGTGAAGGGGAAACAGCCTCTTAAGGCTTCATTCCTGGGGAGGGCATTGTGTGCAGGCTGAGCTGCAGCTTGAGATGCCCTCACTCCCTATCACAGTGCCTGGTTCAAGTGTTGTTTACTCCACTCCGATTCCGCTTCTTACTAATGCATCTGACAGGCAGCAGCTTATGGCCCAAGTACTTGAGTCCCTGTCTCCCACACAGGAGTTCCTGGCTTCTAGCTTCCACCTGGCCCAGCTCTAGCTGTTGATGACACTGGGGAGTGAGCCAGTGGATGGAAGATCCCTCTTTCTTCCTCTTTCTGTCACTCTGCCTTTCTTTTCCTTTCTTTCTTTTTTTTTTTTTTAAAGATTTATTTACTAGTTATTTGAAAGCCAGGATGACAGAGAGAGGGAGGGAGGGAGGGAGAGCGAACGAGCGAGCGAGAATCTTTTATCCATTGATTCACTCCCCAGATGGCCACAAATGCTGGAGGTAGGCCAATCTGAAGCCAGGAGCCAGGAGCTTCTTCTGGGTCTCCCACATGGGTGCAGGGGCCCAAGCACTTGGGCCATCCTCTGCAGCTTTCCCAGGCTATTAGAAGAGAGCTGAAAGGAAGCAGAGCAACTGGGTCTCAAACTGGTACCCATATGGGATGCCAGCGTCACAGGCAGTGGCTTTACCCACTACAACACAACGCCAGCAGCCTCAACTCTGCTTTTCAAATAATATCTTTTTTTTTTTTTTTTTTTTGGACAGGCAGAGTGGATAGTGAGAGAGAGAGACAGAGAGAAAGGTCTTCCTTTTGCCGTTGGTTCATCCTCCAATGGCCGCCACAGCTGGCGTGCTGCGGCCGGCGCACCGCGCTGATCCGAAGGCAGGAGCCAGGTGCCTCTCCTGGTCTCCCATGGGGTGCAGAGCCCAAGCACTTGGGCCATCCTCCACTGCACTCCCGGGCCACAGCAGAGAGCTGGCCTGGAAGAGGGGCAACCGGGACAGAATCTGGCGCCCCGACCGGGACTAGAACCTGGTATGCTGGCGCCACCCATAAACATATCTTAAAAAAAAAAAAAAAAAAAAGTCCCATACGTGACAAAACCAACAAATGACTCTCTTAAGTCTCAAAGGAGCAGGTTACATCTTGGAGGTCAGGCAATACCCAACCTTGCCCTTTCTGGAGCATTTCCTCACTGATAGGGGTGATACCTACATGTTTTTTGGGGAGGCAAGAGTTCAGAGGACCAGAGTAATAGTTGAGGCACGAGAGGAAGGAAAACAGAGGCTGTGTGGGAAAATATGTGGCCTCTTCACATCCTCCCTTCTTGACGTGGCTTTCATTGCAAGAGGCTCTCTCTCTCTGGTTTCTGAGGGAGAGGGGAGCACCACTCCCAGTTAGGAGACCATGGCTGCAAGAATGCTGGATGTTGAACAGCAGGTTAAGCTGCCAACCACAACACCAGCATCCCATATGAGCCCTGGTTCAAGTCTCAGCTGCTCAACTTCTGATCCAGCTCCCCACTACTGCACCTGAGAAAGTAGTGGAAGATGGCCCAAGTACTTGAGTTTCTGTTATCAACATGGAGTTCCTGGCTCCTAGGTTTGGCATGGCTTAGCCCTTGCTGTTGCAGTCATTTGGGGAGTGAACCAGTGGATGAATGATGTCTCTAACTCTTTCAAATAATTAAATAAAAATAAATAAATAATAAAACCTTAACAACAACAAAAGAAGAAGGCTGGCTGGAAAACTAAAGCCCAAGTGAGAGAGCCACTCTGCCTCACACCTCACTCTGGATGACAAGGTGCTGACCACAGAATGACAAGCCTTCAACACCCAGGCCGGGATGCCACAAACACAAACTGCAGACTGTGTGTTGTTCCGTCATTGTCACTGACTGAAGTGAACTCCCCCCGTCCTGAAAATAGGTGGGTTCACCCCAGCAGACAACCATCAGGGAGGCAATCTGATGTAGAGCCGCTGGCACCTCAGCTGTAAAATGGGGATAGTAACCCTGATGTTGCTGGCAGCTGGGAGGTTCTCCAGGGGAATGGCAAAGCCCAACATGGTAAGTGCTAGCTTGCTCCAGGCTCTGTGACCTCATTCAAGGCCAGCAAGGAGGGACAGTGACAGTGCAACCAATCCCACAGTCTGTGACCACTTCAGCCAATGAGCAGCCCGGAAACTAAGCCAGTTTTATTTTAAGTCCCCTAGGAGGTAGTGAAACAAAAATAGAAGCTCAGCGCAGGGATGACTAAGAAATGTCCAAGAAAGTCTAAAGCAAGCAGGAGAGAAGGCTTGGATCTGGCCACGCCTGCTACACAGGAACATACGTGTTTCTCAATTCACACTCTGACAAAAAACAAATCAACAAGTGGGAAAAACATAAGCTCAACATCTGCTATCATGGTCATATCCCCATGGGACAGACTGGCTGTGCCCAAACTGCCAGTGCCTCAGGCAGAGCACAGCTCCCCACTCACTCCCGCATCTCTGCTGCCCCCAACCCTCCCTAGTGTTCACTATGCTTAGCTTAGAGTGCCTAGATCCACCACAACCCCCAAGATGCTCTAGAGGCCCAGTCCCAGAGAGTTCTGGGGGCAGCAGGAAAGCTGGGGGAATGGATAAGGCCATCTCGCCCTCTGCCTTTGGAACACAGCAAGGCTGGGCAGCAATCAGAGAGTATGCACAGAAGAAGAAACACCATCAGGGACGGACTTGAAGCGTAGCAGCATTCCACCTGGACGTCAGCTGGAGCCCTCACCGCTGCACTTCCAATCCAGCTCCCTGCTAAGGTGTCTGGGAAAGCAATGGAGGATGGCCCAAGTGCTTAGGCCCCTGCACCCACAAGGGAGACACAGAAAAAGCTCCTGGCGCCTGGCTTCAGATTGGCACAGCTCCAGCCATTGCGGCCATTTGGGGAATGAACCAGCAGATGGAAGATTCTCTCTCTCTGTAATTCTGTCTTTCAAATAAATAAATCTTAAAAAGAAAAAAAAAAAAAAAAAGGAAACACCATCAACAAAGGTCTATGGGCACGAAAAGAGGTGAGAACAGGAAACCAGGAGGCTGGGGATGGAGGGGAGGGGAACTAAGGCTGGAAGCTGAACTAAAGTTAACAAGGCGCTACCATGTGGTAGGACAGAAGAAGTATGGGGGTGTTCTCCCTTTTTCAGCAGTGTTCTTCATGGTGTGATAACTTTCTAATACAACTATTACTGGGCTGAAGAGGTAGAGAAAGTGTGTGGGGCAGAGTGACAGATGGACAGAGGGCCCTCTGTTCTGGCAGGGCAGAGCTCGCTCCATGAAGGTCAGGACAGCTGAAAGGCTCCCAGAAAGTTTGAGAAGGAACCTTCAATACTATGTCCAGGGGCCGGTGCTGTGGCATAGTGGGCTAAGCCTCTGTCTGTGGTACTGGCATTCCATATGGGCACCAGTTCAAGTCCCAGCTGCTTCTCTTCCGATCCAGCTCTCTGCTATTGTCTGGGAAAGCAGTAGAGGCTGGCCTAACTTCTTGGATCCCTGCACCTGTGTGGGAGATCCAGTGGGGGCTCCAGGCTCCTGGCTTTGGACTGGCATAGTTCCAGCCATTATGGCCATCTCGGGGGTGAACTAGTGGATGGAAGATCAATCTTTCTCTAACTATGCCTTTCAAATAAATAAATAAATCTTTAAAAAAAAAAAAAGTATCAGAAAGCTTTGGCTGAACAGCAGGTGTTAAAATCCCACATCCCACACTAGAATGCCTGGGTTTGATGCCCATCTTGGCTCCTGACGTTAGCTTCCTGCTAGTCCAGACTCTGCAAGGCAGCAGCTTATGGCTCACGAAACTGGGTTCCTTCCACCCATGGGAGATCTGGGTTGAGTTCCTGGCTTTGAACTAGCTTGGCCTGGGGCTATTGTAGGCATCTGGGAGTGAACCAGTGGACAGCAGCTCTCTCCCTACCTTTCAAATAAGAAAAGAAAGCTTTGGCCAAGACCAGTGCTGGTCCCAGTTAACTGCATCCCTGAGCTCTAAACCACAAAAATCATCTAATCCATCCCATACCTTTGGGTTAGAGGCCAAATCCTCAGCTACACAGGTGGTCCCCTATACTTGTCCCATTACCCCATCCTCTCCTACCTTGATTCAGCTCCATAAACACACACCAAGACTCACAGAGTGCTTGCTCACTTTTTTTTTTTTTGTAGAGGTGAATCCCCCTGCCAATGATACCCTCCCTCCCCTCATCAGCTTGGTTAGTTTCTACTCTTCCTCCAAGTCACCATTCAGACCCCACCTATTTGGGGAGTCCGTCCCACACTCAAGCTCCCATACAAAAACACACCTAACAACACTCCTGGGCCCTGTTCCTCTACCTGAGCACTGTGGTTCTGGGCTGATGGGGTTCTAGTCATACCCATCTTCCAGCACCCCCCACAAGGCTTTCCACTCATGGCTGAGAGGCAACATTCCTAAATCTAAAACCAGAAGGAGTGCAGAGCCTCTCCCTAAGTCCAATGCAAAACAGGGGAGGAGTCCAGGCCCGACTAGGACAATGTTTTCCTAGGATGTC